ATAACCATTAACAGCATATGGCAATTGCATATAACTAGCTCTATCACAGTTTTTGTACAGGTTGGTTATTATTATATTAATATGTATGCTAAAAAGCTAAAATAATGGAAAATGGCAGCCATTTTAAATTGTAATAGCTCAAAAATGTGTACAATATTTATTTAACTGTTTCTGTCATTGTTATCAGTGGATTTCCAATTGAATACTGCATTTTAATGACATAAATTTACAATATTAGTGACAATTTTAGGAAAAAATGGCGGCCATTTTGAAACAGCTGGCAACCCCCCTTACGTATGAAAAAAAAATGTTGCACATACTTTTTTGATTTATCTATGTCTACTCTACATCATATCCAATTTTTAAAAAATATAGCAAAAAAAAAATGCAACCAACCAAAGTTTGCTGGACTATATATTACAATCAGCAGTTCGAATATGGAATTATAATCACCACCATCATTATCATTATTATTATAGTCATCATCATCCACTATATCATTAATTATAATTAACATGTAGCTGTTGATTTTTTAAAAATAATTTCTTTTAAGGAAAATAATACGAAACCTGTTGAGGTGGTACATTTTAAACAAGGGGGTATAAAATATTTGTATACGGTACCTCCTTGATTTAATAAACAAACAAAAAATCTTGTGACGCTACTTCAATTTCATGATAAACGTCACCTATGGTATCAACATGAGAAATAACTAAACATGTGACAAAAACACATGGTTTCACGTGTGACATTGTCCATTATTATATAACAAGTACAAATGACGTCATCAGTGGTTTTATAATATGAACTTATATCCGAGTCTGGGCCTATTTATAATCGAAGATCTGCTCATCCATGTGATTTAAAACATAAAGATTTTGCTAGAATTAAATTTTAGGTGTTATCGTTTATCTTTTCTTACAATTTTTAAGATTTTGTAAGGACAATAGGCAGATTTTGGCTTGGGGTTGAGGATCTATGATGCTGGCGTGAGATGTGACAGGGGTACAGGTAAAGGATTGATGCAGACGTGTGAGTGGAAGGAAAAATGATATTGACAAACTGAGTAAATAGGGAGCCAATGTTGACGGGCAGATACCGTACTGAAACCGTGACGGGAATAGAATTGCAGGGGCGGCTCCCGGAAGGGGGATTGGCTACCAAAATTAAATGGTTTAAATTAACACCACCACCATTGGAGATTGTTCCAACCTGATAAGGGGTGGTTGATTAACTACGCCTACTATTTATAAGGTGTTGAATAAAAGTTTAAATTTAGTGGTCCAACAAAGGCTATTATTTCAGAGTCAGAAGAAACGTGCCTGTTAGTAACATTTTAGGGGGTTGGGGGTAAAGTCTGTTTATTCCCCTCTCTAAATTCGTCCCTGGGTTAGATGTAAGCATACGTAGAGGGAGAGCTATCTTGACGCAAGGCAGGGGTGGGCATAAAAACATAGGGTTTTTAATTCATTGTCGCGGGCCGCAAACAAATCGCTGACGGTCCGCATGCGTCCCGCGGCAGTGGCGTATCTAGAAGTCTTGAATTGGGGGGAGGGGGGGGAGCTCGATGATCAGTTGAGGGGCGCAAAATATGGTGATTTTAGGTGATTTTTAACTACTTGACCGTGATTTTTGGGGAGCGACTGAGGTGGGGGGAGGGCGAATAATTTTTTTATTATCCCCTAGATACGCCACTGGCCCGCGGGCCGCACTTTTCCCACTTGTGACGTAAGGGCATGTTGGATGTTGACATAATTAAGTTTTTAGGGAGAACGTGCGAAGTGAGATACCGTCTAACTGTTGTGACGACTCGATGGGGATAGGATGGTTTTTATAATAAGAGGCTGATGTTATAACGTGATGGGGTTAGGGGAATGATGTACGTCAGAGCGGTCATGTGATAATAGCGTACAGTCACCGGTCCGATAAGAATAAAGAAAAACATGAACTGATTTAAGGAATGCAATTTTCATTTATTTCCACACATTTTCAAAATACAGTGACGGATCCAGGAATTCGAAATAGAGGGGGACTTCAAGGAGGGACTTCTACAGATGGAGTGTAGACTACCTCAGCCCCACCATGGTTGGGGTGAAAATTGATGATTATGGCACCTCTAGTTGGCCGGAAATGGCATTCTCATACTTAAATTTGAATATAATTTTCTTTTTTCTCTGCTTTTAAATTTTTTAAAAATAGGGAGGGAGGGTCAGATAAGCCCCCTTGAATATGCCACTGAAATACTCAACATAACAAGTTTTTTCAATTTATCCTGGTAATTATAATCATGCCCGCTTATATATATCGTGCAAACTAACATTCATAAAAATAATGATTTATTATACTGATTACTCAAGTCTCTTTGCATGTACAGTACTTTTAAAATCAATCAATCAAGAGGTTTTTCCCTTTCTCCTCTCTTTGAATTTCACTTTTGTGCAAGTAGCATTGCGACTCACTATTGTGAGTGGAAATACTACCGTCTAGGGAGATAGGAAGCGCGCAAAACATCAGTTAGCATTTCCATGTCACAACATAAAGGTGATTTAATTAATTTATAATTTTCATGACGTCATGGCGAGATTGCGTCGACGTGACATCGGAGTTCGTAAATCGCTTTAAGTGTTCTGCCGTCAGGCAGGTCCTTAGCTGCCAACTCCTCCACTGGCATCTGTCCTCCGCTCTTCTCTTCATTTGAACATAAGGCCTCTTATCCTTTAAATAGTCTATCATCCCTATCCTCTTTCAGCTTTCTTCCTCTTGGTCTTTTCCCTTCCATTCGTCCCTCTCTTGACTTTTTTCAACAAACTCTCCCCCCTTAACCTTAACTTTCTTCTTCTTCTTCTAATAACTGACATTAATGCTCTATTTTCTTCTATAATTGTTCAGTACCTCTTCACCTGTCTTTCAGAAACATTTTCTTTCAATTTTTAAACTTGTGGTATCACTACTATAAGTCGAAATAGATAGACTATTCGTGTCAAAGGCTGTACAATTATTGCTTAATAACGGCTATATAAAAATTAATTGACTAACTATAATTTTTTGAAAATAGGAAAAACAGGTAAGTATGCAGATAATATTAAACACTGGTATATACGGGTCTATAATATACAAAAGGATTCGGATTTTATTATTTTGTAATTGTAAATTTAATCTTTAACGCATTTCCTTATTTGTTAGTGAATTTCGTTACTTTTCCATTTTTTGATTCGCAAGTTAAATTTGTATTTGTGTAGTGTTTTTAATCGTATTGATTTGTGAGAATGTGTTGTTATTCTTCAATTTTGTTTACAAAATTGCCAATAAAGAACATTTGAATTTGAATAAATCGTTTATAGTAGATGTTGTGCACTTTTGAGTTGGCACAAGTGAACAGACAATTAATGACAGTCATTCGTAATTGTTGTTCTTTTTCCCACTCGCTTTGAAAATTGGGGTTTTAACTATAGAAGACTGGTAAAAAGTGGGGGGGGGGGGAAACAATTGATATGATGGTCCCCCTACTTTAAAAAGTGGGGGACGTGTTCCCCTGTCCCCCACATTAACGCCCATGAACCGAGGGATGAATTAAGACTCATACGATCAAAAATTTACGATGAACTTTTGTTCAAAGAAATACCAAATGTTGGGCCCTTGTAACGTCATCGGATCGGTGCAGTCACGAACATTTGTCTTAAAGTACGGTATCCAGTCAGTTGAAAACGATCGCTGATCGCGATCGTCAAGGAGTGCGTTATTACTTGTTTCAACAAGAAAGAAATCATTCTTTAAAATGATGATGATAATAATACTAATATTGATATTACTACTACTATAACTGCTAATGCTACTACAACTAATAATAATAATAATAATAATAATAGTAATAGTAATAATGTAAAAAATAATTGATACAGTACTATGTTGCTGAGATAGCAACGAAAACTTGTAAGTAAAGCTATATTTTATTTAAACAAATTGCAATAATAACTAATTGAATAATAACAATAATAAGAGGCCTAATGATAACATCATTAATCATTATAAATATTATTTCTTTAATATTTTAATAAATGGATGTAATTCATTATACTAAATTGCCCTTCAAAACCAGGCGCCAAATATATTGTATTACTAGAATGCAATAGCCGAATCTAACGAGAACGAATACATTTTTCTAAAATTAAAAAAACACAAAACTAAATAGGCCTACGTAGGCATAACCTACACTCAGTGAACTCGATTAGACAGTGCATTGATAATCACGCGATTAGTCCGAAAGAGCAATTGTTTACAATATGGTTAGCATAATAAAGTAATCAATTAAAGAGGCAGTGAAAATACGAGTCAATAAATAGACAAATTTCAATCTCATAAACATTTTTAATAACAATTTTTATTTACCCAATTTTGCCTGTAGCACTCCTAGAATAAAATTACCCAAAGAAAATTAAAATTCTTAAATAAACATTATGTACATGATACATAAGCCCAAATAAAAATAATGTTTCTCACGTTCTGTTTTATAGAAAGGGGATTGAAAATTGAGATGCTTATATTTTTTGTCTACGCAAACATGGTCACCTTTCTTTCCCTACCGGACCCACACAAGAATGTATACACATAATCATTGTGACGTAGGTCTATCTTATTGGCCAGGCAAAGTAGAGTCTTTGCTTATGAAGAAGTTCGTATTTATACAGCATTATTTTCCAGGTGTTTGGGAAAACAATTATAGTTCTCAAGGTATTTCTAAAATGTTTGTAAATCGACAGGGGACTTTTTTTCCTCATTCAAATTTTTAATTGTAAGTCAATAACTTACCTAAATATGCAAATTAGGCAATTCAAATATGGAATTTATTGTTTTTTATTGTTTTAGCTTGTGACAGGCAATACATCTTTCATACTTTATAAATTTCTACACAATAAAAACATTAAACATTAAACATTACCTACTTAAAATATAATTCACTGTTACAGCATAAAAATAATAGTTTTTTTTTTTTATATTATCAGATAGAATTTGTGAATCTGAGGTAGATTTACTTACTAAACATTGAATTGGATCGAAACTTGAAATTATTCCCGATCCAAAAATAAAAATGGCCGTTTTTCACTGTTAGTTTTCCGATAAAATGCATGCTGGTAACATTGTAATTAAAAGAGAAAATAGAAAACAAGAACAAATGGGATATAAATCATAATTATCAAAGACAAAATTATATTTTAGGTATTATTGGTCCTATAATTGAAATAGGCAGGCCTAAATTACAAAAGTGTTTATTTTCCTCTACAAGCATGATTATAATGCAAACATATAACATTTTATTTTATGCTTTTGATTGACAAGAAAATATAAAAAAGTAAATTTGGGACCACTGAATTTTGTTTGGAAGGTGGACCTACAATTGAATATTGACGATTTTGCAACTATAATGGGCCCTATGTTGAAGTTATGACTGCTATGCTACATAATGCCATTCAATGACAAATTTTATGCTTTTCATTTATATTTTTTTTAAAGTAAATTTTAAAAATCATTTATTGTTAAAAAATATGTGAGTACTATATTCATAATTTTTGATATTTATTAATATTAGATACATACAGATTAATGAATAAAAGAAATAAAATACTTGCACTTAATTCAACACATGTTGTAATAGAAATAAACCATCATAAAACCATAAAACCATATAAATAAATTAATAACAAAACACCCTCTTTTTATAAAATGCAAATATTCATAACTAAATGACCATATTGCTCCATAATAATTGTATAATATAAATTGTCAATACATCTTTAACACTTACAAAACCAAAGGCAATATAAATATACAGTAATATTTTATTGGACAAATACAGTACTATACACCAAATAATAAAGCAGTACACTTTGCTAAATAATGAATTAAAAAAAAAAAAACGATTTTTGCACTATATTTACTGATTAATGGAATGGACAGGGAATGGAGGAGGTTATCCAGCACCAACACCCCCTCCTACATCCCAAGATCAAGAATTGTGATAAAATGCACAAATAACATGTACTACAATTCAAACAGATAAGATCTAGAGTGGCCTAGTTATCTACGTAACTTATGATTTGGAATGCTTATAAAGTAAAACATTTCTGATGTCATAGTAGATATTATAAAATGAAACTTTTACTACCCTGAATGCAATTGTAAATTCTTAGCAAGTTATTACTATGTTAAAGCCAGTCAAATCATCATTGATATATATATTACAATATACACACATATAATATATATAAACCATGGGTATCATAAAATATTTAAATTTAGATAAAATATATTTCTGTGCATGAATTTTAAAATATTAACTCATAGAGTTATTATAAGATTGAACAAGAATACTATAGTGATAACTAGATAAGCAACCAAGAATCATTTACATGCTTTCACTTACAAAATGGCAGCTACCGCGATTGGCTCAAGCAGGATCCTGTCTCTGCTGCAATGTGCATATTAACAAATGTCATCACAAGTCAAATTATAAAATTTATTTGTGCCTAAAAATGAAAATTTGGTTTTATCAAACACTACAGAATCCTGCTTAGGAAACCATGAACACACATTTGGAACATCTATTTTGCAGGAAAATTATGGTAAAGTTTCTGCTCAGAATTGAATGCTTTGATGTTGGCACTTTAGTATTATTGTATTTCCCTAATATATACTACAATATTGTCAACCACCTAAAAAGATAATCCTACTTTATAAGAGCCAAGAACTCTTCTCGTGTTTTTGGGTCCTCACGGAAGTACCCCAACATGCAACTTGTAACTGTTCGACTGTTCAATTTCTGAACTCCACGCATCACCATACACATGTGCCTATAAAGAAAAAATCAAAATACTAATTCAATGCTGACAAATTATAATCTCATAAAATTTGATTTAAACGTATAAAATGAGGCTGTTCAAATTCTGGAATTCATGCATCATAATGTAATATTGCTTATAGAAGTGCTGAAGAGAAAAAATAGCAAAAATTCTAATATATCAATTGAGGCAAATTATCTAATTTCTTCCCACAAAATGTGCAATTAGACTAATCTCTTTCTCATGCTTTTTCTTAGTAACTGCAGCTTTGTTTAAAGGACACCAGGATGGTTGTGTGAGAAATGACGCAATTCAAATCTTTGCTTCTATTTAATGAATACACGAACGCTTCATTAAGAATTCAATCTCTCACCAGAAAAGCACTTCAAAAGGCATTTCTGTGTGCTCAAATCAGATTTGTCAGTCCTACATTCATCCTCTTATGATTGCTTTAAATGTAAACATCATGAATGTTCTATCGTGTGGTAGGCTAGAATGTAGTGTATAGCATAGATCTGACTGCTGCTTTTAAAATGTATTGAAATCATTCTGAAGTCTCCGTCCTGTGATAGGCTAGAATGTAGCACATAGCATAGATGTGACTGCTGCTATTAAAATGTACTGTAAACATCCTGAGCTCTCTATCCTGTGATAGGCTATAATGTAGTGCATATTATAGATGTGACTGCTGCTTTTAAAATATATTGTAAATATTCTGAAGTCTCCATCCTGTGATAAGCTAGAATGTAGGGCATAGCATAGATGTGTCTGATGCTATTGAGATGTATTGTAAACATCCTGAGGTCTTCATCCTATGATAGGCTAGAATGTAGTGCATATCATAGATGTGACTGCTGCTTTTAAAATGTAAAATGTATTGTAAATATTCTGAAGTCTCCATCCTGTGATAGTCTAGAACGTAGGGCATAGCATAGATGTGTCTGCTATTATTACAATGTATTGTAAACGTTTTGAGCTCTCATGTGATAGGCTGGAATGTAGCACAGTGTCTGCTACTATTACAATGTATTGTAAACATCCTGAGCTCTCTATCCTGTGATAGGCTGGAATGTACTAGCACAGTGTCTGCTACTATTACAATGTATTGTAAACATCCTGAGCTCTCTATCCTGTGATAGGCTGGAATGTAGCACTGTGTCTGCTACTACTACAATGTATTGTAAACATCCTGAGCTATCTATCCTGTGATAGGCTGGAATGTAGCACTGTGTCTGCTACTACTACAATGTAATGTAAACATCCTGAGCTCTCTATCCTGTGATAGGCTGGAATGTAGCACAGTGTCTGCTACTACTACAATGTATTGTAAACATCCTGAGCTCTCTATCCTGTGATAGGCTGGAATGTAGCACATAGCATAGATGCATCTGCTGCTAGTAAAATATATTGTAAACATGTTGAGCTCTCTATCCTGTGATAGGCTAGAATAACATAGCATAGATGTGTCTGCCGCTTTTGCAATATAGGTAAGGGAATATAAAGGTCAAAACCTTAAGCTCTGGTCTAACAGGCCAGAGTGCCTGTCACTATTTCCTTGGTGCTTGGGCCAGACTGTGCAAGAGTGTGGGGGTCACTACTCCTCCTGCACAGCAGTCTGTTTTACCCTCAGAGCATGCTGGTACCCCCGACCTCAAGGTTAAGAGTCCGGGCCACAACCGTTGCGCCACCCACTTCTATTATGTACTGTGAACATTCTGAGCTCGCTATCCTGTGATAGGCTAGAAATGAGTGCATAGACCCCATTTTGAGATCTCGATCCAATTAAGGCTATGAGGTAAATGGGTTAATTACTACTTTAATTACCACTCCATTGAATCAGTTGCAACTCCTGACCATCTTACCACACAATGTGTGCCCAGCTTTAAGATACTTACGTTTCTTCTATCATTACACCCAATCCATTTGGTGCTACAAATTTAAGATAATTGTGTTGCTTCTATCTTTACACCCAATCCATTTGGTGCTACAAATTTAAAATACTTACGTTGCTTCTATCATTACACCCACTCCATTTGGTGCTACAGCTTCTGTCAAGGCAGTAGCTATCTGCTTTGTCAATCTTTCCTGAACTGAAATACAAGAAGATAAAAATCACATTATGATATACATAGTCATTATAATGTATAGTACTGTTCTTGTCTATGTATTATACAGGTAGATATTTATTAAGATATTTATAATACGTACAAAGAAAATGATAATCTACCATAATCACCTGGCTGGCTTTGTTTCTGCCAGACATCAACAAGCTCTATTTTTCTAGAATATCAGTTAGAAGGCCTACAATTTCTGTTACAGGGTCTTAAGTGGACCTATATCTAGGCACTATTTACTAAAAGAAAAAAAGTTTACCTTGTAATCGCCTACTGTACATTTCCACAATTCTATCAAATAAAAAAACAAATGATAGCATTAACACATGTAAAAGAGTATAAATATAATATGGGATATATTTTCAAAATACAAGGATACCACATTAATGACTGATTTCTGTTAGGCCTACTACAGTATGCCCTCCAATTCAAGACCACTTTGGGATCTGAAATTTGGGATGGTCTAAGGGTTCCACACTACAGTGCACCCTCCAATTTGAGACTCCTCTAATTCAAGACCACTTTTTCAAAGAACCAAATAACAATCTTTAATCTTTTAACACAAAGCTAACCCCCTAAATGGAGACCGAACCCTGAGACCACCCCAAATTTTCAGGTCCCAAAGTGGTCTCGAATTTGGAGGGCAAACTGTATACTTTTTCTGTTTGATTCCCATCCAAATTCATCAACATAACAAAAATAGACGCTGGTGCCATTCTCCGAAATTATCTAACACTAGAGTCAATAAATTAGAGACTTGTGACAAAATGTTTTTGTGATTACATATCATTGAAGTATTAAGAACAGTTGATACTGTAGTACACTTGATATTCAGGCTCTAAATCTTGAGGACGGACGCTCAAACCTCTGCCGTGAATTTTGCATGTGTCCTTAAACAAGGTACTTTACCAACCCAGGATGGAAAACAATATGATTCCTGCACTGACTGGAAAAAAAGGCCTGTTTAAACTCTGACGATATCGAACCTTAAAAGTTAAAAAGCAACTGTTAATCGTAGAAGTAAAAACAACTTTATCGTTTTCCCATGATTATGATGTCATTTGATATGATTTGTAAAATTTATTTTTTGTTATCATATATATACACGATAAAGCGTTATCGAATCGTGCAAGTGTTAAAACTTCTCTTATTTCTTTTAATTTTCTATATGAACAATCCTTTTAGCTTCTTATTGTTGATCGTTTGTCATAGTGTAAACAGGCCTTTATGGTATGTTACATAGGTTTTTGATCCAATGACTGGGCAATAATATGATAATTGCAAATAGAACTCATGAGAATATGTGTAGTTATAAATATACCACTAACACTCTGACTGCCAGTGGTTTGAAAAAATAGTATCAGCCACCACCAGATTTTTAGCAAATTTTAACATTTCAGCTTTACAATGGTACCAAACATTTTATTCTAATCACAATCTGTGACCCGTAACAGTAAAATGAAAATGACTCACTTTTTGAGATTTACACAATTTTGCACAATGAAGCTGAGATAATCGCGATTTCGTTAAAGTAAATCAATACCTCTCTATGCTAATGTAAACAAACAAATAGTGAAATACGGTCCAGACTGAATATAGTGTTCAAATTGTAAGTACATGTCGGTAATTACCCTATCTATTGGATTCCGTAAAAAAACCTGAAACACGGAGATCCGTGTTTGGCGGTCAAGCGTTGTGTTACCAAACATGAAGATCTCCATGTTTGGCAGGCAGAGTGTTAATATTAGTATCGTAATATACTGTAATATCTACATGTTTCTTGTTTTAAGAGTATGCAAATAATTTTGAAAAACTATATATTCAATCAAGAAAATGTTCCTCATTCAAACAGTCTCAACAAGAAATCTTATAATGCAAAATGGTAAGAACCATTAAATTAATATAATCACAGCTTTTCATTACTAATACTAAATATAATAACAATCTTGGGCTCAGCCCACACAAAATAAATTTCGGAATATTCATCACCACAGACCAAGTAAACAAACTTCATCATTAAAAATATCTGGCTGTTATCAAACATGTGGTTGGCATAGCAGTAACGCTTGTCTTCGTAATTAATTATTGTGTCAATAAAGAGAGATGTCATGTCTATGGTACATAGTTCATCGGGACAGTCAACTCAATAATGAGGAAGCCAATTTGAGATCGTTATTGCGGTCTTTAAACCAAGTAGTTTATACAAACCAGCATGTTCTATTTATCTGATGGGTTTAAATGTTATTTCATAAATCTGATCCTTTTGGGAGACCCAACATATACATGTAAGAGATATTTCCAGAATCATAAAGAATTAATTATTTCTCAACTGGTGCTGGAACAGGGTTCATTTTGACAGATCCCTACTCAGCGACAAGGGCATATCCCCATACTGCGGTTTGGGTGCTGGCTTGGAGTTCGTCTTTTCTTGTTTTTTCCAATTCAACTGCTCACTTGTTTTGCACATAGAGACTGTTGTATTTTGCGCAATATAAAAAATATATAACCTACAACCTTTATAAAATCTATTGAATGTTAGTGCTGTTTAAAGTTAATGTTTCTCTTATTAAAAATTGATAAATGTTTTTGGTAATTAAAAAAAAAATTAATTTTATTAATTGGTGTCTTTTTTTTTGGTATTTTCTATGTGTATAAACACAACATGCTCTACGTAAACTATGTCTCATTATGTGGCTTAGGGGGTAGTGTTGTTTTCTATGTGTATAAACACAACATGCTCTACGTAAACTATGTCTCATTATGTGGCTTAGGGGGTAGTGTTGTTTTGGTGGTAAGAAAAAATTCTGTTACCATGACAGGAATTGAACCCATCAATGTTTTATGAATTAGCAATTCTTTCATGGTAGGTAAACATTCATTCACTTGATAATCAATTATTTGATAGTGATGCTGGTCCTACTCTATCATGGAGCTGTTCGTTCTTTCGAATTTGTACTAATTTTTTTTCTGCCCCATCCATGCTACTGTACATTCCTTGAAGAAGGTAAATTCCTTTGTTATGTACTCACCTAGCTATTTTGCTTAATCCTATAACACGTTTATTTGGTAAGTAACCTATAGACACCTGTACATACAAGATACAAGCAAAGGTTAATCAATCAATCAATGAATTAATCAGTTACAAAAAAAATAATTGTTTGATAATTCTAAGAAATTTTATAATAAATTTAAATGTTCAATTCAAAATTAATTTTCCTTGGAAATTAATCTAAATATTTTTGGATTTTTATGGAAAATTAACGTGAATCGAACATCGTGATGCATATGTTTCTCGTCGTAATATTTTGAAGAAAGGAGAATGACACCTTTTCTTCGTTTTTTTCACTCTGAGATGGCAAATCCAAGATGGCCGATGGGAAATAGTCACGAACGATTGAGAGGAATTTTACTGATGCGAGTTAGCCCGGTTTTCGTACATTCCATAAAATAAAGGGGGAAAAAAAATTTGGTGAAGCAGAGAAAATGGATGCGCGAGGGGACGAGAAACTAATTTTTAAATTTGGCTTTAAGTTGAAAACAACTAAACTTTGTATAATTGGCAAGTTATTCAGTTGGACAAGCATAGAAGTTAAATATCTGAAATGCCTTAATGAATATTCTTGACACAATATCAATATTTACTCAGAAAGCACAGAGGGCCATACAAGGATTGTTAATTAGTGAATGGCAGCAATTCTATACCAAAGATGGTAATATAATCTAGATTTATAAAACCATGGACTTCCTCCATGATCAAACAATGTATTTGTCAACATGGAATTCAACTCTGACCTACCTTTCCGACAAATGGCACTAGATGGTGTTCACACATTGAAAAAAATTCTATATCTTTGACGACGACAATTTCATCATGATCTTCATCAAATAAAGCATTGTTTAAAAGGTCTGCAAAGAGATTAAAATAAAAAACTTTATAGAAGGAGATAGGCAATATTTAATTAATATTTCACATTTGTCTTTCAAAGTTGGTTCATATACAGTAGTACAGTAAAGCTGGGCGCTCACTGCATCGTTGCACGATGAATCCAACTCCGCTCTCTCTGAGCGGTAGAAGGCGCAACACCATCTGCTGATTGTTGGTGGCAGTCTAAACGGATCGTCATTAAAAATGATCTGTTGTGCGCACGTCGTCAAGTTGCATTCTTTGTAAAATCGGATCGGCTGACGACTGTCGGGTGCGGTGAGTGCCCGGCTTAAGTGTTCACAAAATAGGCAGACAATTTTTCATATATTTATTTTCAATATTATATTTTTTAAGGCCTTTTTTTTAGCAGACCAACAGACATGGTAAAACATAAAAAATCTCTAATTAAAGTCGCTTAATGATAAAACTAGTATTTCAAATTAATATAAATTAGATAGCAATGGCAATAATAAACAAAACAATAAAAGTGATACAGTACGTATTGTAAATTAACCAACAACACAATCTAAAATAATACAGGTTCAAAAAAAGCACTGCTATCAGTGAGAAGCTCTGTCCACACTATCAAATTTTATGTGACAAATAAATGTAATATGCCCATATTTGGATGTAATATGCCCATATTTGGATGTAATATGCCCATATTTGGATGTAATATACCCATATTTGGATGTAATATGCCCATATTTGGATGTAATATGCCCACATTTGGATGTAATATGATGTTATTGCATTATTAGAATATTTGTGTTTTTTAATAAATAAAAACAATATACAATGATAATAAAAATTAATAAATTGAATTTACTGTAACTGCAATAATATTTTTACTATTTTCATCAGAATAATCAGCCATAACCTTACTGACAACTCTACTTTACAAGTTATGGGTTTGAAAAGCAATAAATTAAAATAAGAAAAGAGGCAAATAATTATTTATGAGACAAGAAACAGATTTATAATGGTTTAAGCTTCCACAAAGTTATATGAGATGGAGAGCTCAACATTAACACTGGCAATCAGTATTAAAGAGTGGAGCTGTACTTTGGTGGTTAAGGTGCTTATCTTCCACTCTTAGGTTTCTGGGAGCAAATTGTATGAACCAGGTATTTTTTTTTTAGCATGGGCCGGGCATTTCATTGTAAGCCTTGAAACGTGACTTGGATTATAAAGCAACACATTTTTTTTGTTATTTAAGAACTCTGAATATCAGCTATCTCCTAGGACAAACTCAATGGAAGTGTCAATAATAAAATAAAATGCAACAGAAAAAGCTGAACAAAATGAAGAAGCTGGAACCAGGATTTGCAGAAGGGGGAGGGGGGCTGTCTTTGACAGAAGCATAAAGACTAAAAGTGGGTCCAGGAATGAAGCCAGATGCTATTATTATTATTTAAAATAGTGTAATAAAAAATAAAAAAAATGTTTTCCAATAGCAAACCGTTCTAAGACCTTTAATATTGGAATGGAGTGGGCGATTAAGAGAAAGAACAAAGGTTATAATTAAGTACTGAGCAGATGTCCTCATTCTATGTAAATGTTAAATCAATGGTCATTGAGTCGTTATGGTTTTCAATTAATAAGCCTTCATAGAAGTGGTCACTGGTTATTCATGCGGTTATTCACCAGAAAGTCATTCTGTACAAAGATGTCTGACGCATAGTGAGTAAAAACAATCCATTTTTCAAAATAATGGACTAGAGACAATATTTTTCAATCTAAAAATTCTTCAATAGTTTTTGCACTGATCTTAATTGCTCTTTATTAGAGATATAAATATTTGTTTATGATTTTGTGTATTGCTAATACAGGAAAAGGATATGATACATAAGAGGATCTCAGCCTTTTCAATTACAATCACAAACATGGTTCATTATTTATGGGTACAGTATGGATCAGTAAAAGCCAATAACACAAAGACTGCTGTCTATAAATTTCCTTGTGTTTTTGTAGCACATTTTATGTGCAACAGGTTGAATGTGGACTATGATTGTGCATTTGCACTATAGCCCTTTCATATGACAAATAAGTCCAAACAGAAATACAGGTTATGCAAGGTAGACAAACTACTCAACATTTTCCAATGTGAAGAGGTAACTGTATTGACTATTTTCAAGAGGCAGATTCTGGAAGAAGAGCTTTAGTATTTTTTGAGATAATTATCAAGTTACAAATTAACATGTATACTTTTATGCTGGAAGTTTGAATGTATTCAAGATTTTCGGGATTTCTTTAAATTGGGCTTGAGGGGTCCACACTACCTAAATAGTGTGATATATCATGCCCTTGTATAGAGATATGATAGCATCATGCCTATATAAGGGCAAATCAGACATTTGTCACAGAAAATATGTGTTGACAGAATCGACGAAAGCAAAGTGGGCGTGGTCGAGCTTCGATCAAATAGTTTTGAAATAGTCCAGGGGGCAAATCCCATGAAAATTTTGACAATTTAGGGGTTTCAAAGGCTTATTTAATCCATTTTAGAGTCTACTAATATGGGGAGGGAGTAGCTCTCATTGGGGAGGGGGAAACGCTTGTGCCACCCTTGAAATTTGTCAAAATGAATGTAAATCAGAAGAGAATCTGCCCTGTAAGAAATCAATTAAACTACAGAACAGATGAGGGCTTTCACAATAGAACTGGATGAGAAAGCATTATTGAGATGTGCTGAATAATTACTTAATTAACCAGAAGTTAACGGGAGGAATAGGTAAGTAGCTGAATACGTCACAAGCTCATACAGAGGCTGACGCAACAGGTTCTCATATTAATAAACAATCCTTTGAACTGATGCTTTGCAAATGTTCATGACGTATTTGACTTCTAATGTTTGATTCGTGTTCAATTGATCTGTGGGTAATAGAGTAATACCACTTACATGAATCTGTGAAGCATTGTACTACAGTCATGTATAAGAACTGCAGAATACTGCAGAATATGATAATTTGAAAAATTACAAATTATACTTTAGAAAATATGTAGATAAACAAGACCAATTGAAAATATATAATTACTATAAAGTATATTAAAAGATTCAAATGGTAGAAAAATTGAAAGGGCCATAGATAATTTTGATTAGAATTCCGTAAGGACTGTTGTATCAACCCAGAAAGTCTTTAATAAAATTTTTTTTAAAAATATTATTTAATTCAAAATTAATAGTATTTGATGACCCACTACCTGCAGATGAAATACACTATAATTTAATTAATGAATTTGATAAAAACACTATATATATAATTTGATTAATTCCTTGGTATATTAAACATCAGAATTACTATATCAACCCAAATAGGGCTTTATTTAATGAAAATTTTTAATAGAAATTAATTATAAACCTGAATTAATTTCTCATTATATTATACAAATTCAGTTTATAGAAACTGATTAACACTCTGACCACCAGGGGTTTGAAAAAATAGTATTAGCCACCGCCAGACTTTTTTAGCACAATCTATAACCCGTAACAATAAAATGAAAATGACTCACTTTCAGAGATTTACGCAATTTTGCCCAATAAAGCTGAGATAATCGCGATTTTGCTACGCTCGATGTAAACAAACACTGACGCCCGAAAGAGACATCAACCAAAGCTACCCTATATGGTATCGCTAGGCTAGTCTAGGCCTAGCCAAAACAAAACATCACTATTTAAAGATTTATGACATTTTAAAAATCATAAATTATACATCTAACATCATCTGATGACATACTTTCGCCAAAATCCGAATGGTTATATTCCGGTCCTAGCCACGGGTTTACGCTCTGACGCGAATTCTATCTTTTTTCTTCCATTTTGGATACTTTGAAATAGTGAAATACTTACGGTCCAGACCGAACATAATGTTCAAATTGTTAGTACATGTCGAAAATTACCCCATCTATTGAATTCTGTAAAAAAACCTGAAACACGGAGATCTCTGTGTTTGGCGGTTAAGCGCTGCATTACCAAACACAGAGATCTCTGTTTTTGGCGGGCAGAGTGTTAACCTAGGATGATTTTAAAAAAATATATTTGAATATACTTTATTAAATTAGACAAAATACATCGATACAAGAGTACTTATTACAGATACAGTAATTAATTGTTTTGTGAATTTTACCTTCTATCTTCTCTTCATATCCTTTGGTAAAAAATAGAAGCGCTTTGGCTGCTCTTTCCGGTGTTTTCTTGAGGCCTTGTCGACTGGGGTCTTCACCTATACTGGAAATCAATGACTTGTACGCCTCTTCCATATTTGATAGCTGAGAATCCGAATCCTTACGGTACAAATTAGAAAGCGAGTTGGGCTTTACAGAATCTTCTATTGTGTCTTTGTAGTTTGTGTCTCCTTTCTGGCTGACATTCTGTATATCGATATTGTGCGACTGTGTTCCGTACGACGCCATGCTTTGTGATTGATAAATCTGTGAAGATAAGATACATCATTTAATTTTACTATGTTGACTCACTTTTATTATATGTAGACTAGCCAATTTTTACCCATCTACAGTACTGTACCATACAACTGGAAAAGTTTGTGTTTCTAAAGCTACGATAATAGCTTAAATTTTGATTATAATTCAACTTATTTGAACAGTCAGCAAGTGCGTCTGTAGTACTACCTGCTAGCACGAAAGTATAACAACAAATAATTTGTTGTGCAAATGGTTTGGAAAAAAATATTGGAAGTAAAGGAGTCATATAATTAGCCAATCAGCAAACACAAAATCTCAATATATTTGCATAAATTTTTATGACACTATTATAACAAATTTTGATGTTACTCTGGTCTTAAGCCGGAGGAAATCAGAATTTGCAGTTTTAGGAGCCAAAAAGTACAAAATTGCAAGGAATTTTTAAAGTTCTTTACTTTGTTTTTTTTTTTTTGTGGAAATCCCTGTTATATTTCCCATTGTCATTTGACATTGAAATAAAATTATGGGTACATTCAATTACTTGTTTACTTATTTCTGGAACACTACAATTCTGCAAATTCTGGAGTAGAGGCTAGGCCGTGCCTATATGCCCCTCTTGAAAATAATATCACTTTTTGAATATGGTGCATATGGTGAATATGGTGAATATGGTGCATATGGTGAATATGTATAAATATATGATATTTTATAAAATTATTATTATCTATATGGAACTAAGGCCCTATACAAAATATTATTAGTTTATGAAAAAGTGATGAGGGAGGGAAGCTTTTTTAAAAATTTTATTTATTTTTTTTTTTTGCTTAAGCCAAATATCACCCTTGGGTTGTTTGCTGGTGCATTGATATTCAAAGTAAAACATTATTGAGATAATACAAACAATATCTACAGTACTAACTATTTAATTTAAAAAAAAAAAATCAGTACTATAGAAGACATGTGTGCGAGGGTGATAAACTAATAAATTTTTTTATTGGGCCTAATGTGTTTTATAACATTTTCATGACTTGAAAATGTACTCACTGCTATACCAACCATATTGGATGAATCAAATTGAATCTGAATCTAAACTGTGGCATTTAATAGGCAAATGTCAACAGGTAATTTATAGTTTACTTGTGTTACATATTGTTATGAGCTATCATAATTTACACATGGCATTTCAAACTTAACTTTTAATAGTATTCTTATGTGATTATTGTTAAAGCATGGACACATAGTGCTATTGTATTAGAAAATTAATGCATACATAAATTAAAGTATACAAATACATATACCTATTATGGCATTTATGTCACTAAATAATATAACTAATTATATATTATAGCTTATTAGGTAATTAACAATATTTAATTTTTAACTGAATTTTCCAATTTTAATTATTTTAACGATGTAATTAATTATAAGTATATTTTTGTATTTTCTCTAAATAATAATTTGTAATCTGATTGTATAATGCTGCCTGTTTTATATTGTATTTTATCAATTTTTATGTAAAGCGTATTGAACAGCATTCTGAAAATGCGCTATATAAATTCATATTATTATTATTATTATAATATATATGAATAAATACATAAAGATGTACATGGCAATAACTGGTATGCTGATAATTTTCCCATAAGGTGAGACATTTTTAAAACCTTGTGTGCAGAAAAAATAAAAACAGAATTTTGTTTTCTAATTTAGCAATAGTTTTGCAAAATAACATTCAGATGGAGGAGAAAATAAAAATAAAATTTTATTGGTGAACAGTGCAGTATTGGGATGGTTAAATGCTTTAAATTTATATAATTTGAAGGGATAAAGATCTTTTTTTTTAGATTTCAAGGCAATGTTGGGCGTAATAAAAAAGAAAACTGAAATTTCAATTATGCAGGTACCAACATCTGCATTGAAACTGGTATTGAACTACTGTATGAAGCACAACGATTATATTATATTTTCATGATTATACATATTCCTGATTTACCATACTTTTTAAAATAAATGTTTTTGAGGTGATGTAGTTTTAAGCAGGTGAGGGGATGGGGGGTATATACTGTAAAATCGTTATCAATATACTCTACAGTGTATATGCCCTGGCGGACTAAACTGCATTAACAGAATACATTTATCACTGTTCTGTGCCTCTATCGCACACCGTAGTACATAGGAACAAACTTCTTGTAGGATATGGATCTTATAAACATTAAAACAAAAAACAAAGAAAAATAAGTAATTAGTGAATAAACTGCAAGATTAGTGAAGAGAATTTGCAAGTCTCTCTTTAAAAAAGTAGTATTATGTCAATTGCAACTTCATGTACTCACAAGAGTAACTCACAACAACAATGACTGTTCTACAATTTGAAGTCATAAATCATAACGCAAAACTAAATTTGTGCATTTAACTTTTTGTAAGAGAGAACTATTGGCACAGATATAGCCAAGGAATATGGCCAACTTAAACTGAGATTGAGTGATTGATTGATTGAAGTGAAAAGCAAAGAATGGAGGGGGTAAAGGAGGATAAAAATCATTTAATTAACACCTTTTGTTATAATGCTGCTTTAATACCAACGATGTTGGGATAAGTACATGGATAAGGACTCAACCAAATAAAGTACATGTAGCTATGATTGGCACACCCAGGAAGTTATTGCAAATGGTCAATCATCTTCAACGATACAAAAAGGCTGGTTGTCCCAAATGGCCAATCTTCTTCATCAATACATAATGACAGGTTCAAAATGGCCAATGCCCAGCTAATGTACACAACACAGTAGGTTGTCACAAATGGCCAAACGTCTTTATGTACACAACCCAACAGATTGTCACAAATGGACCATCTTCATATACAGAATTCTTTATATTATTATACCTATTTGTCTAAGGACGGTTATCAATTTACCAACATTTTTTTTGTTTTCACTTGGTTACGTATGATAAATGCGCCATCTGTCATTGTCCTCAAATTCCTTAAAGTTAAAGTTTGGAGTGCGCAATCCAGAAAATTGTTGCTATGTTCGTTTACTAATACGCTAATCTGTAGATATGTTGTACAGTATTTACAATGTGGTGAAAATATTAATTCTGAATTCCCTATTGACTTCACTGTTACTTGTATAACGCTTTTCCTTGCAGTTACGGTATGCTGTCAAAAAAATCTCCCTGAGTAGAGCTTGCATAGAACCTAACCCAAACAAAGTGTGCAAACTTAAATAATGCAATAAAGCAGTAACTCAAAGCAAAAAGGTTTGATAGAAAAATAACAAACAAAACAATAAACAAATAAGACATGAGAAGTCAACAAATCTGGAGAAACAAAACTTTAACAAAAATTGATGAAAGCATATAATTTACCATTTGAATACTAAGAAAACCAAATATAACAAAAAAAATAATAGTCTGAATTGGCTGAACAATCAGCTTAATCAATACTGTTAAACCACAAAGTAGTAAAACTATATAACAAAGGCTGAAACGACCCAGTTTGAAATGACCTAGGCTTAAACGACCCAGGCTGAAACGACCCAGGTTGAAATGACCCAGTGGCATTCAATTCAATGCAAAACACTTTCTTTTGTTTGTCCCATTTTTGCTGGAACGAATTTAATTTAATGCCACGGAGACAGTTTTGACGATTTGACTCAAAACAGGCTACTGTTGATTATCATTCAACATGAACATGTTCTTTGATGATTGGACTTCAACATAATCCATTTATTCTCCGATAATTTAATGAAAAAGTTAAATGAGACTTAAATGTATGTTGAAATTTGACTGCAATTCCCTCCAATTCCCTCCTTCTCCGGAAGTAGTGGTAACATGAGATGCGAGGCATGCATAATTAATCATATTTAAAAACTTGAAGAAACACTGAATTTTTGTTTCAAAAATAACAAATCACAAAGACCATGTCCCAAGCCACTCCATGGCTTTAAGGTATGGGATTCAAACTGTTGGGAGGGCATTTTACCACTACTTCCAGAGAAGGAGGGAACAGAATTCCAGTCAAATTTCAACTTACAGGTAAGTTTCATTTAACTTCCCAATTCTGTTCCCTCCACTTCGGAAGGAGTGGTCCCATGAGATGTTCAAAGAGAGTGTTTCTGAAACCATACCCTATTTGGATAAATTAATCAAATCAATGATATAAACAGACAATAATCCAATTGTTAACTCTTTTATTTCACGCTTTTTGTACGTTTGTTATTTCGTGTTTGAATGTACGAATGATCGCTAAGATTGTATGCATGCGTCGCATCTCATGGGACCACTCTTTCCGGAGTGGAGTGAACAGAATATCTAATTAAAGCCCCATTCTCAGTAAAATTTCAGAAATCTGATTTCTATATTTTATTAGCCTATCCAACACTAGGCTAGCCTTACCTTGATTTAGGTTCTGTTATCAGACATAAAACTGCCGACACAATAGTTTCCATTGCTAGTATTGACACTTGTGAAACATAATATTTCACAGGAATTACTTCAAATTTGTTAAAAAAATGATTCTGACCGAGATTTTGACAATTAAACAAACATATCTCAGGCCTACTCAATCAACCTCAGTGTGCAAGATGCGAAGTACAATAACTATAAATAATTAGAAAGGGCGCACTTTATTGACTGTATAAAGTATACACAAAAGCGAGAGCATTCCAGCGAATACGATCTACAACCTCTGAATTTGCCAAGTAACGAAGAAGTTGTCGAGCAAATGGTAATCTCCAACTATATGAGAAATAGTCTCTATTTCTCATTTTAAAAAAATTCTTTTGTGTAAAACTATAAAAAAAATATATGGCAATATTTTTCTATGGTTTATAATTTAAAATTAGTGATTCGAAACCGAAAGAGGACGCAGTATAATTTTAGAGTAATGCATATGCATTTTTTTTTTTTTTATTCATTTTTAGTGAAATTTTTGCTGGGAATGGGGCTTTAAGTTTAACCGTTTAATTAGGGTGGTACACTGACACCCTGTCGCTCAACAAAATCAACTCTGTTTCCGGGGTCTGTCATATAATTTCTGCCCAATTGAAATTAGTGTGACCTTCGCTGCAGCTACAGAATTGAATGCCATTTACTGAGTTAGAATTAATGAATTCCAGCGCTCGCACCTCAAAGTTAAGCTCAAGATAGCGCACTGAATAATTTTAAAGTCAAGATGCATAGAAATGTCTAGTTCTATGCCTAGACATGGGTGACCTTTTTGCTTTTTTTGGTGAAATAATATATTGCTAAGTAGAGTTTAACCTAGATAAGTAAACACCGATTCTGGCAACACCACAGAGCTGTTGGCATGTACAAGTTGGGTGGGTTAGATGCTGCATCACGAAGGTATCAACCATTTAAATTAATGGTTTTAACCATTATTAATTAACACATGTTTAATAATTGTAAGTGTTAAATAATTTGGTAACACCAGTTCGTACAGCCAGATGCGAAACCGTATTGTGCTGACTTTTTAGGAGGGGGGAGGGGGGAGGGTAATTTACCTCATGAAAATATTCTAATTGTAATTTGAAATATACAAAATATAAGAAAAAAAATTGTTCTCTTTTAGAGAAATATTATGCAGGACTTAATGACTTGAATATGGTATATTGTAAATTTTTGCTTTTTAATAAAATTTAATAGGCCATTAGTATTACTACTTCGAAAATGATGATAGAGACTATAACAACTTGCCCTTTTTCGTCTTTATAAATAATGTGTTATTAACAAAGAGAAAGATAGTATTACTCACTCTAAAATGATGATACAACAAGCTAGTCTACCAGAAAATGAAAGCAAACTTTTTGACACACAACAGCAGCGAGCCTGTTGTTCTAACTTCATATACGTCTAGAACAGTCTCGGCTCCTTCAGGATGTTCATCGACAATTGTTTTTATGTAGACTATTATTGTTCGACTGTATATATTGGGCGCCTATATATTGCTGATTATTTACCGAATGAGTTCACTCACCAACAATAAATCTACGCCTTTGTTAATGTTATATTTCACTCGTTTTAACACAGACAATCGTTGATCCGGTTCATCACACACTCCACACACTTTCCTGACTGAATAACAATCACAAACAGGAGAATCACACAAGCACGCCACACAACAACGTGCAAAAAAAAGGACGGCTAAGGTCGAAGTTCATTAATCTTTATTATGGCGGCGGGTATGAATACAAGCTCAGTTCATGTTTGCAAATACCTTCTTCCTCAAAACAAGGAAAGGACAGTTTATGATGGATTTATAGAATCATTGGTAATTCGATATGTACATGTTGGAGGTCTTGAATATACAAATGATTTTGATATCCAGGACTTGAAAGGCCAGGGCAGCCTAGCGAGAGTAGGGCGGCCCTAGTCTACCTAGGCCAAGGCCTGGCCCAGGTACAACGGGCTGGGCCTAGGCCTACTACTGCTACTTACTACACTAAGGCCTAGGTAGGGGCCTAGGCTAGCCTGGGCCATGGAATAGGCCTAGGCGAGGCTATAAAATAGGTAGGCCTAGGTTGTTGTTAGTAGAAAGACAACAAAATGAAAATAAAAGAAAATATATATGATAAACCGATTGACGAACTTATTCCTAGCTAGGCCTAGGCCTATATTTTATTAGATTTTGCTTTTTCGCAACTTCATTGGCGCTCTATCTATTTG